CGGTAGTCCACTGACCTCAGCAGCCTCACTCAGTCTTTGTACTGAAGAAGTTGGGCCATTTTTAAAGATTTCCTTTCCTCTTAGCTCACCTACAGCCCCCTCTCCAAGATCTGCTGTACTTCAGAAAACCCGGGGTTTCACCCAAACCATATGATACATCCCTCTTCTGGAGTGGGGGGGGGGAAGGCCACATGGTTTCCAAAGAAAACAATATAAATGCAGAAGTAGGCGATAACTTTATTACACCAAAAATAGGTTGCAGGGTTTTGGTGGTAACATATCTCATCTTCCTCTGACCGTTTCAAAAGTTTCTTAGCATGGTTATTGGTAATACATGCCACCACTGCACAATAAAGAAAACACCCACCAGGTAATTGGACTGTGGAATTGCTAAAATTGGCCTTCTCTGGTCCTTAAACTAAATTTTAATCCCAGCCCTCTGATGGAGGCCTGCCATGTGACTGGGTTGCCATTCCCCTTCCCTGGCCATATCAAAGCCTACAGCTTTAAAGAATACATGGGACAGGGGATGCAGACCACTTGGTGACTCTTAGTTTGAAGAGATGGGACATCAGTTCTAAGATGCTATTCAATGCTGCTTGAAGGGAAATTTCCACCCATCCATCCCCCAAGCCGTTTGCATTCTGCTCAGGAATGTTCACCTGGCATGTACTATAAGAACCATGCTAATAAACCTTTGAAACTGCCTAGGGAAGATGGGCTACATTACCATTGAAGCTTGCAATCTACTTGATTTTTTTAGAGGTATGATAAAGGTATTGTCTGCTTTTGCATTGATATTGATCCCTCTTCTGCATGGATGTCCTGTGTTGGCTCTAAGAGTAAGAACATTCACTTCTGAACACTGAAAATGGAGGAAGCACTTATTATTGATGACACCTTTTAATGCCAGATGCTTAGGATCAACAAAGTGACACTAACCAAATTTGCACAGATCAAACAAAGCTCACAGTGCTCCAGTGTGAGAGAGGCTGTCTCCACACCAAAGAAGGCAACTGTTGTTGTTCAGGAGGATCTGCTGAATCACCAACTAAATCATTCACTATATTAGATACCGCCATATATCAAGTAATTTATTTACAGTAGCACCCCCATATCCGCTGGGGATTTGTTCCAAACTCCACTGCAGATACTGAAAACCATGGATAATAACAAACACTATATATCAATATTAGAGATGGGGACGATGCGCCAAAATAGCCCTTCACCTTGATTTGTGGATCATCAAACGTGATGAACCATGAACCATGAATTGCCCCCCCAGTAGAGACCAATGACCCACAAATCAATTTGTTGGTTCATCAGGTTTTAATTTTTTTAGATACCCTGCTAATCAATTTGTTGGTTCATCAGGTCTTTTTAATTTTTTTAGACACCCTGCCCCCACCCCCTTCCCACTGCTGCTTACCTTCCCAGCTGCCTCCTCCTGCTCCAAGGCGCTTCCGCAGAAATCGAAACTAGACTGCTGGAACCGTGGTTCCAGTTCCAGCAGCCTAGTTTTTGCAAGGAGGAGCAGGGAGAGCTTTCCTTTGGGCAAGTCTGACTCAGGCGATTTCCCCCACTGTCTTTGCACAGAAAACACGGGCAGGGTTTCGCTTCACTCAGGCTTCCTCCATCTGTCTGTGCCCCAGTGGGCATAGAAAGACGAGGGAAGTAGGACCCAAGCAATCCCCCACCTATGCTGTCTGTGCAAAGACAGACAGGTCCTCCTTCCCTCCCATTCCTATGCCCCGGCAGGGATAGGAAGAGGAGCAAGGCCTGGTCTAAGCGATCCCCCATCTCCTGTCTTTGCAAATACAGTGGTGCCGGAAGAGGAGCAAGGCCTGGTCTAAGCGATTCCCCATCTCCCTGTCTTTGCAAATACAGTGGTGCCTCACAAGACAAATGCCTCGCAGGACAAAAAACTCACAAGACAAATGGTTTTGGCAATGGAGTTGATGACTCGCAAGACAAATGTTCCTATGGCCGTGCTTCGCAAGACGAATGTTTTCCATTTTTTTGTTCCTGCCTCATTTTTGCTGATTTTTAAATGTTTTTCTATGATGTTTAAAAAGTTAAAGTTTTTTGAATGAAATGTTTTAAATCATCTGCACAAGATGTATGGCTTTAAAGATCATTTAATAAACCTTTTGTAAACCAAATTTGACTTTGTTCTGACTTTTTTTTTGCCCATAGGAATGCAATAATTAGACTTCAATGCATTCCTATGGGAAAACGCGTTTCGCAAGATGAATTTTTCACAAGACAACATTAAATTCGTCTTGGGAGGCACCACTGTACAGCAGGGGTAGGGGATTGCTTGGGTCTCCCTTCCCTCCTCTTTCTATGCCCAGGCAGGCATAGAAAGATGGGGGGGGAAGCGGGATCAAAGCAATCCCCCATACCCGCTGTCTTTGGAAAGAAAGCGGGGAGAATTCCTTTGGTCAGGCTTCCCCTGTGTATAGAAAGACAGGAAAAATCTGAGCAAAGTGATCCCCTTGTTTTTCAAACAGGATGGTGCGATTCCCTTCGGGAAGGCTTTAGAAAACTGCCCAAAGGGAAATCCCCCTCTGCTTATACCCCCAAGAAATAGCTGATCTGTGGGGGACATAAGCAGATAAGGATAGAAGAAGGGACGAATATAAAAGTGTATACATTTGTTGCTTCATATTTTTCAGGGTCTCTGGACCCCAAGAATATGAAGCAACGAATATCTGATGAATCAGGGATATTTGTTGAATAGCCCAATTTGTTTTTATATTCAGCCCCATGTCTAATCAATATCAATATATAGATATAGGGTTTTCATGTGTGTGTGTGTGTGTGTGTGTGTGTGTGTGTGTGTGTGTGTGTGTGTGTGTGTGTGTGTG